ATTAGATTAGATTAGATTAGATTAGATTAGATTAGATTAGATTAGATAGATAGATAGACAGGTAGATAGATAGATAGATAGGTTGGTATATACACATAAATATATATATATACAAATATAAATATATATATATGTGTGTGTGTGTGTATGCAGAGTGGCCGCAACCTGCGTATCGACATTTAGCACTGACGCTGATGCATTCTGACGACACAATGCCTGAGCGCAAAACAACCGCTGACGACACATTCCCTGACGACACATTCGCAACTGACGACGCGTTCCCCCCTGACGACACATTCTGACAACACATCTCTGACGACACATTCGTGACTGTCGACGCATTCCCCCCTGACAACACATTCTGACGACACATTGTGTGACGACACATTTGTGGCTGACGACGCATTCCCCCCTGACGACGCATCCTGACGACACATTCGGGGCTGGCTACGCATTCTGACGACGCATTCCTTGATGGCGCACACCTTGCAGCCACAGATTCACTATTCTTCTGCGCAATGTAAGCCTAAGACGAGAAGCGGACATTCTATTTTCGCCCAATGGCATCAAACAATATCAAGAGGTCACGAGTACAAAGACTCTGCTACAGGAGCTACAGCTACGCAGTGCCTACTATATTACATACTACTCACTACCTACTACTTACGATGTTTACTTCTCATCTCCCTACTCCTTTCGATGCTGCCTGGGGACTCGTACTCGTAGTCGTAGTCGTGGTCGTAGTGGTAGCGGTCATAGTCGTAGTCGCAGTCGCAGTCGTAGTCGTAGCAGCAGCAGCAGCAGCAGCAGCAGCCGGAGCAGGAGCAGGAGCAGGAGCAGGAGCAGGAGCAGGAGCAGTAGTAGTAGCAGTAGTAGTAGTGGTAGCAGCAGTAGTAGTAGTAGTAGTATAGTAGTAATAATAATAATAATAGTAGTAGTAGAACAATTCGTCTTCGGGGGGGAATTCGTCTTCGCGGAATTCGTCTTCGGGGGGGAATTCGTCTGCAGGAGGGAAATCGTCTTCGCGGAATTTGTTTGGGATTCGTCTTCGGAATTTGTCTTCGTCTGCGGGTGGAAAGTCGATACCCGCACAGCGGGTCCAATGCATATATATATATATATACATACATACATACATACATATATGTATATATATGTAAAAACATTGGCAGCCGACTCCGATCGGCTACGCACGGGCTTCGTTTCTCCGATGGCCTGGGCCTAGAGTCCCTTCGTCCATGATACGATGTCTCAACCTGATGGGACATCCTGAGATCACGAGTGTCGTTTCAACACCGATCTTCAACTCTTAAAAGAGCGAACATGGCCGGTACCCGGAATCTTGGGTCCCTGGTTCTCACCAGAAGTGGCCTCAAACAGCTGGATATAGTTGCAGAAATCCTTAAGGAATCCACCAGCTGTCTTGCCATGGGACTTACACCACTTCACATAATTGGCCTTTCGGGCCTCTGTACTGCTGATCAAGTCAAAATAAGAAACATTCTGATGGTTGTATTGGCCGAAACTCACAATGGTCCGACCCCATTGTGAAAGGCTAGTGATGCCTTCCGGGAATTCGCTCTCCAGCTTGGGAGATGGCAGATCAGGCTGCGGAGAAGGAAATGGTGTTGGCTTCACGCCTGGAGCCACATAAGAGCCGCCCTCATAGCCGGGAATGTCGCCCTCCCACTGAATCGGATAGCCAGCATGGGCATCAGAGGAAGTCGCATCGGCTGGACCGTAAGCGGTCTTGAAGGCACGCTTGGAATTCTTGGATTCTCCTTCACACATCTCACGACGCTTCGCGGCATCGGTCATTGCACCTCCGCTGGAGACCACAAAGAAATCATTCTCTGAGGCTGGAGGACTTTGGCAGCTGACTTGCACTGCATGGTGAAGTTCTTCCGACTTCACACCGCTGGCATGAGCCTTCTTGAGAAGCTCCAACAGCTGTTGCTGGTCCTCCGAGGACAGGGACATGTTCACCCTTTCAGACAGACACAAGAGCGTCAGCCTTTGAGCAGTAACAGGAAAAGGACTGCAGGAACATAGCATTAACGAAAAGTGATACAAACAAAATTTACAGTGACAAGACTGCAAGAGGTTTCTGCACAAATGCTAGATACTCAACCCAAAAGAGTACTCACTTGTGAACCCCTGAACCTCTAACTAAGCAGCGAGCTCACTGTGCATTGGCCCCGATGGGACTATGTGACCCTGCTGTGCTTCGACCCGACTTTTCTGACGACGTTCTCGTTCGGCAGCCTGCTGGGCTAGTACATGGCTCTCAGGCGAGATCTGGTACGTTGACGTTCTGATGCACGAACGGAGAAGGTCTATATTGGGTCCTGTTTATCTTTTGTTAAACCATCGGCAATCATACGGTCGGTTGGAAGCCAACGAACATGTGCCTTAGTTAACTTCAAGGATTCCCTAATGATCACTATATCGATACTAGTCCTGCGATCTTCAACTGCTGTCGGAGATGAAGGGGAAACTAGATGATCAAACAGGGACTTGCAGTCTGTGGCCAGTAGGGGTGCCCTACGTGACAGCATCTCCCGTCCGGCTCGTGGTTCAAATGAGCCGTCCAGCGCCTCGCACAAGAGCAAACTGACCCACTCTACTGAGCCACTTGCGCATGCCATAGCTTGACTCTCCGCCGATAAGGTGGAGCTGACTGCACGGGGAAGTTTGTAGCTCTTCCAAAGCAGTGGCGTCCAAGGGGCAACCAAACCTTGATTCAAAGTTTCATCTGTAAAAGCTAAGATGAAGCCTGCTTGTGTGTGGTGTCCCAAGTTTGCCCATGCAGCATCACTGTGGCAGCAGATTCGGAGATTCTCCGGTTTGATGCTTTGAAAGGAAATTTCTAAGTCTTTATGTTGCTTCGCCCTACGCACGGCATTGTTAGCATCTCTCAAGTTCCTAATGATGGGATTGGGAAACGCTTGTTGTGACA